CCCCCCCCCTCATCTGTCCTTGCTGTGGCTGCTGATTTTTCTGACACTTTGTTCTCACGGCTGTGGACACGCACACTTTGGACATGTTGACTGAGACAGTGTGTCAGCACTTCTATAATGCAATATCGTGCTTCCTAATCATGTTAACTTCCACAGAACCTCATAAAATAATGTCTTCACTGCAGCATTAACTTGAAGGCTGGAAAGAAATGAAACGTATCGAGTTCACAACTGTTCTTTCTTCTTTCTCTTGGCAATGTTTCAGATCACTCCATTCCCCCCCCCCCAAGCATTCGTAAATGAAAAACACTGTTAGATATTCAGGGCTTGTTTGCATTGTTGTGGACTCCATCCTTGCCTTCAGTTTTTGCCCAGTTGTACAGACTCCCTTCCTCATGTACTGAATTGCTTACTCAGGTTTCACTGCAGACGGTGAGGTTCTCGCAGTGTGCATTAGAAGCTGCAGTCAGGGCTTGCCTTATTTCCTGGCTAAAGGAGATCTATCATCAACTAGCCAATTCCTCCCCAGCCTGACTGCCCCTGGCCTGTCCTTTTTTTTATTCATTGGATTTCAGTTTTGCAATCATGGTGGCACATTTTTACCTAGGGCAGTCTACATGCAGGTATAGTCTGCCTAGGAATGCCACCCATCAAAGCATTTTAATATTTGCATAACTCCTTTTCAAGATACAGCCTATGTCTTGCATCAGGGCTTGAAGGCTCTCCAGGGGAGATTTGGGCAGAGTAGTGTGATTTCAAGGCGCTATATAAAGCACCCTGCCAGCTGCTCCCACAAGCCATGATCTGTATTCATTACATAGACGAGCACAGAGATCCCATGAGGGTTTTACTGGATCTAAAATATGGTATGTATTGAAAATATAAACTATGCCACTTATAGATTTATTTCCTTACAGTGCAATGATTGATTTGGAAGGCTTTTTAGCTGTACAATTTCTAGGTGAATCCGTCAGACCAACATTTAAAGTTCCCCCAAAGTTCTCTTCACTAGTGCTTTGAACACATCTTGGGCATTTTGGCATCATGCCTCAGTTTCCAAAAGTTGTAGACCTGCCATCTGGTCCTTTTTCACACATTGTCTAAAGCTGGCCATACCTCTATAGATTATCTGCAGATTTTCTATGATCAGATGGAAAAACCGCAACAGATTCCTCCATCTACGCTAAACTGTGTGGATACCTTAACAATGCCAGCATCCAATCATATTGCTTGGGTATTTTGACAGCCAGCGGGGCCGACTAGCAAGATACTGAAGCTTGGCCCAGTGGGAGATTCCTCCATCCACACAGTTTAGCGTAGATGGAGGAATCTGTTGCACTTTTTCCATCTGGTGCTACTTCTGTTCCCCATGGTCCATGTGTGTGTTGTAAAGTAGTCACCGCTCCAAGCTCACTCGTGTGATGGGCTACAATCTCATGTTTAGTTAGCTAATTTGTATTGAGTTTGTAGTCCATCACAGGAGTGAGCTTGGAGCTGTGGCTACTTTACAACACACACAGGGACCATGGGGAAGAAAAGTAGCCCCCCTCCAGAAGGAAGGACAGTGTCAGCACCAATTCAGAGATGATTTGAGGATCTACAGCCGACTGATGCACAAATAAGATACATTTTTGTTAAAGGAGAACTATGGGGTTAAGGCTTTTCCCCATAGTTCTCCTTAGGGTAACGAGAGGACACATACTAGTGTCCTCCCGTCACCCCAAGCTCAGTATATCGCGAGCTACAGCTCGCGGTATACTGAGATGCCGCAGCGGATCCCGACAATTATGTCTGGATCCGCCCAGCAGCGTGAGTGACAGCTGGGTCCGCCTATCTAGAGGCAGAGCCAGCTGTACCCGCCCCCTCCCCCGTCCGTTCCGCCAGTCAGCGCTGGAGGATCGGAGCGGGGAGGGGGTAATCCAGCCCATGTAAAGCCCTGAGGGGGACAAAGCACCTGCTGTTTTGCAATCTGAAAGTATATCAGTTGACCAAAAGAGGTACACCTGGGTATACAGTACACTTTTTGATTTTTTGTTCCATTCAGCCTGAAAGCTGAAAAAAAAAGAATTCCTCTATCCACGCTAAACAGTAGGGAAGGAGGAATCAACCCACTGCAACTATTGAATTTAGTTTTGGCCTTGCTGGCTATCGAAATTGCAGAACAGTGCTGCATCTGATTGGTTGCCTGAAATTTGCTCCCTGTATACCCAGCTTTACTTTCACCATGTGCACAGGTGTATAAAAGTTGTGTACTTGGCTCTTTATGTGAAGATTGTGGACACTTAAATTCTACTTTTTGCTATGGGGCAATATTTTATTTACCTTTTTGGCAGAAAATATCGTTTTTAAACCTTCCACCAATTTCCACAAAGGATAACAATCGAAAAAGCCTGCTTGTCCCATGTGTAATCTTCAAACACTATCCAATGCCTGTTGAGTGAACTCATCCAACAGGGGATGAACTCCAGATGCTGTTAATCAATAACCATCATAACAAGCGCTGGGAACTCATTTATTCCAGACCGTAATAATTTGTGCCAAGTGAATAAAATCTAATCTCTGAATTGCATTAAGCTTTCTCCTTGACAATGGGGTAAAAAGATTAAAATGTGGTCCTGATTTACGAGTAGTGTCTGCTAGCAGTCTGTATATTTTCTTGTTGGATATAGTATTGATGTATCTGTCATATTTTCTTCTAGTGGATGTTCCTGCAATTAGTGCCTTCCTGGAATGGATCCCTAAAACAGCTACTGACTGAAGCAGATACATGGTTCTCCAAGCGCAGGAAAGGTTGGTGTATGCTTTTATCTTGTATGAATCATTATGTTCCATAGGGAATACAGTAGAAAATCAATAGTATGTAAAGTTTTTAAAAATTGGTAAGACACTATGTTCAATAATTTGTCGGCGATGATGTTAATATAAGTAACAACCAGCTTGACTTTAGTGAAGACCGTTCTTGTCTGAACAACCTGTTCTCGTTTGAGGAAGTGCGGAGGAATTTGGATAGGAGAAGACCAGTGGGCCTAGTTTATCCTTTCTGAAGCATTCGATAATGTACCTCACAAACTTTTCATCTTCAAAATATGGTCTGATGGTGTTAACGAAATTGTATGTACAAGAATAGGAAACTGGTTTCATGATCAGGTTCAGTGTACTGATAAAAAAAAAAAAAAAAAATGACATTTGAAAAAAATATTTTTTTTAACGTCCCCTGCCTTCACATGCATGCACATACGACACAAACATTTTCAGAAAATATATAATTGTTTGGTGTCTGAAGCTGTTTTCTAGCCAAAAATTCAGATTTTATTGTGCGTGCAAATAGTAAGAAATAGCTCCAGACAGCAAGTGGTTAAAGGAGGACATAAATTCAAAAGCGAATTCTACCCTTTTACAAAATGGTTCTGCCTCATTTTATGCAATTTAGTTTTGGTCACTAATTTACCCCAAGGTCCCTGGAGAACACACGTGGCCTGGCCATAATCTGAGCTTGGACGAAAGGATGCTTAATCTCAGATGGTGGCAGGGGATCTTTACTGTTAGAGTTGTGAAAATGTGCAACTCCCAGGTAGTGGTATTAGCTGAAAATGTGGATACATTTTAAAGAACCCCATAAAAACCCCAAAATGTAGTTATCTTACTCAAGGGAGCATGATATATGGGGGTTCATAGAGAGGCACACCTGTTGAACTAGATGGACCCGTGTTTTTTTCATCATTCTCAACTCTTTAACTTGGTAACTGGTTGTGAGAAGTGGCCATTCCTAGGCACTTTAAAAAAAAAAAAAGTGTAATGACCCGCTTCCTGATTGGCTGGGAAGCCGGCTCGATGCTGATTGGCCGGGAAGCCGGTTTCCTGGCCAATCAGGAGGCGGGTCATTACTCACCACCTGGCTTCCTGATTGCCTGGGAAGCCAGCTCCATGCTTCCTTACGGCACTGCCGGTCAGAGGAAATCTTCCTCTGACTCGAAGTTGTGGTAACGGAGCATTTGGGTGAGTAAGAGTACTCGCCCAAATACTCTGTATCGGTACCGATACTAATATTGGCGCGTCCCTAGAAATGAGTAAACTAAACATGAGATTGTAGTCCATCATGGGAAGCCAGCTTGGAGCGGTGGCTACGTTACATCACACGCAGGGACCATGGGGAACAGAAGTAGTCACCCTCCAGAAGGAAGGACAGTGTCGGCACTAATTCAGAGATGATTTGAGGATCTACAGCCGAGTGATAAACAAATAAGATACATTCTAATACCCTTTTAGCAAAAATGTATTTTTAAGATTCAACTCCTGAGTTTACTGTCACTTTAACCCATTAGAACAGGATGAATACAGTACCACAAATACAAAAGTACATTTTAGAAACAGTTCGGTTTCTTGTAGTTTGATGCCTGATAAATGTATATTTAGATTGTTTCTAACACTACCAACTTGCATTTCTCTTTACTACTTCGCTTATAGTCTGTTTTCACGGAACAAAGAGCAGCATTTTCCTTTGTTAGAACAAATACAACTTCAGTTTGTTCCAAGCACTTTGTTCCCCAGTTCTGGTTTAATAGGAAAATCAATAAATGGTCGGTATGAGCAGATTGTTTTACAGCCAAATTGAGGTGCTTGCTACGTGTGAAGTTGCTTATTCAGTTCAGATTGTTTTATAGACGCTTATTCAGTTTATTTTATAGCAATTAAATTTAATATTGGCGCATTTCTGAGGAGCTGTGCAACCTTTGCATGCTTTTCTGGATACTTGTATATAGCAAGTGATGTAAAATGCCACATTCCATCACATCGTGTAAATTAAATCTGTTCTCCCGAGTATTTCTACATCTTAATATAGTTGGTGGGATTGAAATCTGCGTTGGGAAGTGACAGATGGAAACTGTACAAAGCTCATATTCAACAAAATGACAAATATCCTGGTGAAGAAGCTTGAAGACTGGAAAACGCGATCAAAGCTGAACTCCAAGCAGATTAAAAAAAATACACAAATGAATGAAGCTGTGTATTTATTAATACATCAATTTGTGTATTTTTTAATGCAAGAAGGGCAAGTACCTGAATCTGGCATCATCCTCTTGCAGTCCCTGTACAGGCCAGACAAGGAGAGGGAGAAGCAGTTACCTGCGCTGCAGTGCTCTTGTGCTAACAAAAAGCATGATAGGAGAGCACAAAGTGAAAGAGAAATAAGCTCATCAGTCTGCTATTTCTCCATTATACAGTCACAGGCTGGGGAAGGGACAAGACTGGTGTTACCTGCAGCAGAGAAAAATCAGGTCTTCTACTGTGTCAGATAGGGCTTTGCTGTGTGATCAGACTGTGTACATCTGAGGACAGTATGAACAAATATACAAATCCTTTGCCAGAGAAAACTGCTCCTTTTATACAAAACACAGAAAATCCCCAGCTCACCTGCCAGCTAGCCTGCAACCAAACAAATAGCCCTGTCAACAGTATGCGTTAAAATCAGAGGTTTTAGTTGCACAAACTTTTGCCCAAAAATATGTAGAAGCCACACTGCCACGCCAAGGCACCTCTGCAAGGTGTGGTCCTAACTCTATGTATCCGAGTCTCCAAGTGTGAGCATATTAATGCAGTCGATAAATTGCATGCAGGTGTACCAGGAGGTAGCCAACTCCTCCTAATAAGGTGCAGGGACGCACTGGAGGCCCAGCAACAAAAAATGCACGCTGGGACCCCAGTGCGTCCTCTCTCAAACAAAAATAGTCAAACTAGAAAAAACATGGTACCTGCATGAATCTATAACTAGCCTTTACGGCAGGGTGCACATTGGGAAGGCTTACAACAATACAAAACGCTAAAAATCCCCATCCTCCCCACACGTAATTGCAGGCACTCGTCTCCTCTGCTGCAGCCAGTAAGACGCACGGGTTTCCTCAAACTTCCTGGTTGTGGGGGAGGGTACAGAGCGCAGGGGAGCCATAGGCTCATGAGCAGGGTCCTCTAATCCTTTTGGTATTATACTTGTACTGTCTTCCCATATGTTGTTAAAGTGCTGCGAAAACTGTTGACACTTTATAAATCCTGTATAAGAATAGCTCTGACATTCCATTTTTTTTTGTAGAGTTGGAAGAAGGTAACATTACATTCCTTGAAACTGAGCAGGGCTGCCCATTTGTGCCAGTCTTCAGGTACTTGCGAATGCAGTACATCATCAGTGACCTGGCATCGGCAAAGATTATTGAACGGGATGCTTTGATTCCTTCAGGTAAGAATGAGAAGAAATAATGTATTGAAGTACTGAAGAGCTGAGGAAGTAAAGATGGGAAATTTGCTTTGATATACAAGCGCTTTGGATTACAAGCATGCTTCCGGAACGAATTATGCTCGTAAACCAAGGTATTACTGTATATAATTAGGGTGAGGAAGATCTGCAAGAGTACCTGTCATGTTTGGTTAAAGTGGACGTCTAACAATTAAAACTAGAGAAGTTAAGCGGTATTGTGCTAAACTGTCCTATAACCTGTGCTGTATGTCTTCTCTGTTCAAGGCTGGATGAAGGGTTTTCTCTAGTCACTAAATACCTAGCAGTAATATCACTGAGTTTTCTGTGGAGACACGTCTCTAAAGTTAATAAACATTGCTTAATTCTCTTAATTCGCAGCCATAAGCTTAGTGTCCAAATGCGGAATGGATAGCCTGTGCAGGACACTATTGGATGACTCCTGATACATTCATTACATTTAGATAGTAGAATGCAATTTTAATAGCTAAATTTAGCACAATGAAGTACATGTAACTGGTGTTTTTTGTTTTGACTGTTTTGATTCCTCATAATCAGTAAGCAGAAGGACCAAAGATTTTATCAAACCAGCATTCAGAGGTATCCCATCGCACTCCAAACTGATGTATCCTCATGTGTAGCTTAAATGAGTGCTGAAATGGCCAACAGTTGGCGGCGTAAGAATAAGAGGGATAATTAGGTCACCAGCACACCCAGGTCCACTTCATCGATTCTTTTTTGTTGTTGTTGACATTTTTAGATAAACACGGTGTCACAAGCAAATGATAAAACCAGTTCACCAGGGAGGAAGTTGACACCTGTATGTCTCCTGTTTGGGGAATACTAGTACCATGTCCTGGATCTGTCAACTGGACAATTGGTTTTATGAGCCAAATACGGACTAAGTTGAGAGAAGGCATGGTGGTGTGTTTGTTACTGGAAGCTGGACAATCTCCACCATAAATAGACAGATTTGTAGACGGAGCTTTCTTTTAGTACTGCTTGGATAAACACATAAGAATAGACAGTCTATTTTAGTGCTAACTCAATAATGCTTTGTGATGATGATGTTACAGGATAATTACAAATGTAACCTATTGGCAATTCCTTTATTACTGTTGAATCACAACGAGACAAATATTGGTAATTATTGCCAACTTGTTCCATTGTACCTGCAAAATGGTTAATTACAGAACCTTTGTTCCTTTTTCGTACGGATTACATTAATTTTATCCAGCTTTAAGCTCCCGTGTCTTCTTGAAATCATCTCTCTGGTCCTCTAGTGTAGTAATGTGTGAAATATGCAATCACAAGTTAGTGTGGAACATTTTAGCATAGGTGCTAAATCAGGAAATCTCACTTCCTTCAATAGAAAAGCTTTCAAACCTGCCAAGTCAAATGTTGAATCTGAAATATTATTTTTTTTAAACCTTTTTCTTTTTCCTTGAGGCTTACCATAGTACCCTTTCTCAAATATACTGTTAATCATTTATAGTAAAGCAGAACTTGCACCTAAAATAAGGTTACCAGATTTTCGAAATGAAATCCGGGGATACCCTACTGACCATGCCTACCTATAACCACACCTATCAAAACCACACCCCCATTTTGTAACCAAACCTGCAAATCACACCCCCATTTTTAACATTCTCTGTAACAATTAGTCACAGACTCCTGGAAGAAAAAGACAGTAAACCTGTAATGTAGACATTACAGATGTAAAGACAGAGTGCCCCGAGCACTACAAACGCAGAATTACTGTCGTGTAGCGCAAATAATGTGTGTGACCAAATTGCGTTAACAGTGGGAGTGGCTGAAGATGCACGGTTAAATAAACCCTGAGACTACTCTACTATGGGTCAAGAATGTGTTACACAGAGTGCAGGGTCCCAGGAGTGTGCATCGTGCGCAGGGTCCCAGGAGTGTGCATCGTGCGCAGGGTCCCAGGAGTGTGCATCGTGCGCAGGGTCCCAGGAGTGTGCATCGTGCGCAGGGTCCCAGGAGTGTGCATCGTGCGCAGGGTCCCAGGAGTGTGCATCGTGCGCAGGGTCCCAGGAGCGTGCAGTGCTCTCAAGTGCAGGGGGTGCCAGGATGGCGTAACAAATAGGCCAACATACACAGCAGAACCAAACACCCCCACTTCCCAATACAGTTCTACCTCCCAGTGGAGCTCTCATGCCCCAAATTGCCCCCAATATATACATCTCCCCCCCCCTTTTTTTTCTTTCCCCTTTTTGTTTTCATGTTCAGATTTTAGTAGAATAGAATTGGACAAAATAATGGAGTTGGTCAGCTCAACATAGCAGAGCAGCCTTGGTAGTGATTTTGCATTGATTTATATAGCTATTATGATCAGGACTGACTATTCTGACTCCGATTGTTGTGATAGCGAAATATATCCCTTGCTGAGACCTCTATGCCTGGCCTGTATAAGCAGATATACTCACTGCGGACAATCCTCCTCAGATAGCTGAACTCGTCAATACCGATTCATTGAAAAGAGGTGTTTATTCTTTACATCAGGATTACAGCAGATGATAGGAACAGCAGATGAACGGTTATAGTATTGTGCGGTCAGAAAATGATGCCTTTCCTCCGTACTGTGCAGATTACCTGTGTGTCCTTGTTACATGTGGCTTTCAACTGTGGCCATGACACAGGAAGTACTGCACACAGGAAGAAGGGTGGGGCATACATAGACTGGAAATATGTCGTCACATGGGGAACAGAAATACAGAAAAGACATGTGTGATATCACAAAGGCCACTAGATGGCAGCATAGGATAAGACATGGATTTGCTATGGGGGAAAATAGTTAGGCAAATCACACTATATAAATTCTAACCTATATAACAATGCTAATATTAACTGAGGCTATGCATCTCATATTCTATGCCCCTATTGGGGCGGGACACTGACCAAATAACATTTTACAACATTTTTTTTTTTTTAGTGGTGGTAAAATATGGAAGATTGCCTATTTTGCATATTTATATTTCGTACTATCATTTTTAAGCCAGTACATATAATGTAAGGCTCTTACATGTTTGTTTGTTTACCCTCTGTTCACAAAAGATTGTTTTTTTTAAAAATATAACTCAATAGCTCAAGTTTACCCACAAAGGTGAAGAAGACTAAAGCAGATATAAAGCCTCTGTTTCTCATACATTGTCAGTTTTCCTTTTCTCAAAAACACTTCATAGAGCCTGTTTGTCATCCTGAAGTTGGTGTACTTTGGTAGGGTTAGCAACGCTAGTTATTGTCCTTTTTAATGCAGAAATTTGTAGTCTGGGAATGATGACATTTTATCACGGAGCCAGTATAGAACCAACTTTTCAGAAGCTTTAAGATGATTCAGAAAAATGTCAATGAGCAGAAGACAGACGTGTTGGGGCTAAACTGAACAGGTATCAGAATTAAAGTAAGAACAGATGTAGAGGAATCAGATTGTACAGCAAGAAATAAATTAATATAATTATTAGAATTATTATACAGGATTTATATCGCGCCAACAGTTTGCGCAGCGCTTTACAATGTAAGGAAGACATTACAATCACAATACAAGACAAGATGGTAAGGAGGGCCCCGCCATTGACTGCTTACAATCTAAAAGGGAGGGGGAAGTGATATATGAGGAGGGAGCTGTGTGGGGATGAATTGTTTTAGAACGTGATGGTTGAGTGGTTAGGGTGAGGTGGGATACGCATTGCAGTATCAGCCACAGCTTATTGTATGCTGTGGTAGTTCTGGAATATTTAATAATGCAATACTGGCCTGATTATGAGGATGATGTATTAAAATCGTAATTTGATTTTCTGCAGGGAAGAACAATTCACTAGCGGGAGGAGAAGTCATTCTAGCTTGTAAATATTTCTAACCTCTTTGCCCTTCAGTCAGCTGGTTTAATTTTCTGCACTGTGCGTTTAGTGCTGATTATTATAATACAGGATCTATATAGCGCCAACAGTTTGCACAGCGCTTTACAATATAAGAAATACATTACAATCACAATTCAAGACAAGATGGTAGGGCGGGCCCTGTCCCTGAGGGCTTGCAATCTAAAAGGGAGATGCCTCACAGCTCTGTGCTGCTCCAGGCACACAACGCTAACGGGAAGCAAACTGAATGATGCTCATGTTGCGTGTGAGAGTCCTATTCAAAATTAAAAAGTACTTGTTTTTAATGGTCAAATGTTGGCTGCCATGATTCCTTTTTTGTTTCCTTATTAAATTGTATATAAAAAAAAAACCTGGTGGAGGAGGTATGATCTTTGCTGAGGATGGGGTTAGGGGTATTTGTTTAAATTACGAGGCTGCTACATTTCCTAAGTGATTGAATATTGTTTTACCTACTTATCTGCTTTCCTTTGATATCAAATAATCTGAAGCTGTGTACATGTAGGCAAATTTAGATTATTTTCGTGGTTCTTCCAGGAACCTTGCAATATTTGTGCAAGCCAAGTACCTTGGATCCTTCTTTGTTACTTTTTCTTTTACATTTTCATCAGGATTCCTTCTGTTTATGTAGCTGCAAAGTGGACAGTAATAGTCCCTAGTTACTTCTGTGTATGACCACCTCTGTGTGCATACAGACTATTCCTAATCACAACACATTCATTCGTGCAGTTTAGCAATATCAGTTATCCTGTCTTTCTGTATATATTTGCATATGAATCTAAACACCTTCTGCACTAATGTATGCCCTCTACCTTTATTTAGAGCTGCCCACGCTATTGTGATTATCTCCCTGAGAAAATCCAATTTTTTTCCTTAGACAAGTGTTTCTTCAGAGCTTATCTTTTGTTGTTTGTAAATTGCTGTTCTAGCAGTGTACTGAATGCAGTGGAAGCATTGTATGGTATCGGGAACGAAGGTAATACTGCTAATGAGTAAAAACAAATAAAAAATACAATTTAAACTGTGAACTTTTAGTAAATCACTTCTTACTACACAGTTGGTAGCAGGAAAAGTAAACAGACCATTATT